AATCTATAAAATTAAAATTATTAAAAGTTTATAAAATAAAAATATATATAAATATATGAAATATTACCTTTTTGTACATATATCCAAGTTGTAAGACTAATATTACGTTTCAACCAAAGTTCTATCTTGGATTGTAATTCATACAAGTACTAGTCAGGTTTTTTTTTTATTAAAACTTAAAGATAATTTATATCATTCATGTTTAAAGAATGTAGTTTTCCTGAAAGTGATAGAAGTTTATCGATACAACCATATCTTTGAAAATGTACAAGAATCCGACTTATAGAAAACCTGCTAATACCTAAGTATTTTGCAACTTTTCAAGTTGATAGGCCTTCTAAATTTTTTTTAATAATTTGCTAGCAAATGTGGTTTGAAAATACCATATTTTTTGAATTTAACAAGAAATATGCATAATTTTATATTTATATTAGCCACCTGATTTTAAATTATGTATATATTACAGTATTATATTAATTTTTATTATGCACTGGCCAAAAAATTTTTTAGCAAGTTTTTTTATATTCCAGACCCAAACAAGTTTGCAAACTTCAAACCAAACCCAAATCAAACCTGTATTATATTTGAGTTCGATTCGAGTTTAATACTTTATATTTGGGCTTGAGTCCAAGTTTAAAAATTTTAAAATTTATAGTTCGAGTTCAGGTTTGCATTCGGGTTCAGCTAGACCTAGACTGGACTGAACCCAAACTTCAGAGCCCTACTAGAATACAACTTGGCTTTATTTTAACAACAACTAAAAAGTTTCTAACTTTGCTCATAGTTTCTAGTTCTCTACTTTTAAAATATTTAGAGTTAAACTTCTTATTGACAAACTTTTTATACCTCATATATTGCATAAAAAAAATTCTCTTTATCCTAATACTTGTTATATAGGGGCATCTATAAATAACGTTATGTTTGAGGAGAGAAGGGGGTCCCCCAAAATATAATGATTTTCCAATATTTAAAGAGGTCTCCCAAAATATAATGTAATTTTTTTATAAAAATTTGTCTAAAATTTGATCTAGTGGTCTAAATTGGATAATTTTGATACCATTTTTGGTATCATTCGAATCCTCTTGAGAAGAGGAGTCGAATGGTACCAAAATAATTTGATTTGGATCACTGAATCATGTTTTATTAATGAAATACTATTGGTTATTATGTTTTCTTATAAAATTATTATAAAATCAATAGTATTTCGTTAATAAAATGTTATCCAGTGGTCCAAATGAAATGATTGGATCACTGGGTCATAATATATCCAAGTTTTTGTGAAATTTTATATATAAATATATGAATTTTTAAAAAATTTTTATATAGTCTGGAGTACATAATGTTATATATAGATGCACCTATTTGTTATTAAACTAGCACTATATTATACTAGGCTATATGTCCTTTGTCTAACCTTCTTTACACACTTATTAAAATTTTTTATAACAAACTTTAATTGCTAACAAACTTCAAATCTCTTTATTACAAATTAGTTTATTATACATCAACCTTGATAGCCTTCTAATACATAACTTTTTTAACAAACCTTCTATCTTCTCTACACTTTCCAGTTTTATTCTACTTGACATTATATATACAATATATAAATTCACTATATTTAACCAAGTAGCTAACTCAATCTCCATACAATTTTTTCTTTATATCAACAACCAATTTTACTCAAATATCTGGATTTCTTATTGTAGTTCAAAACCCCAACCCCAACTAATACAACCTTAGTTATCTTCAATATTAGCACCTTCTAGTAATATGCTTTTTACTTCTGATATATCTAATACTACTCTTCAAATATCTTCTTTAAAAATATTATTTTAGTATACTAATTGAATTAAATATCACACACATCCTTTATATATTTTTAATTTATCCCAAATCTAGATAAGCTTTGGCTACTCTAGTAGGCTTAGACCACAGATAAATATCTAGATTGACTTATTATTAGATTCTCTAGATGTTTGAGTTCTTATTCTTAGCACTAGGCTTAAAATTTAAAACCTCTTTCAATTATGTATAGTAAAAAGTTTTTATTAAGTTTAATAAAGATAAGAACAAGATCTCACCTTAAATATTAAAAAAAAAAAACTTGCCCCCTGGCACCCTTCGATTTACCAATAAGATTGCAGGATCTTGTATAAGTAAAAGTTTTTAGTATTTAATTTTACATATAAATAATTTATACTTTAACTTAATATAGCCTGTATTTTAACTCTAATCTTTAAAGAATAATTTATTTATACAATATAAAAATTCTATAAAAATAAAAGGCGGTTAAAATTTATAATTTTAACCAGGGGTTAAAATTAGTTAAATTCTCATTATTATTATTTTTTATGATTATGATTATAGTGATTATAGTTGTTCAACATTTGTTAGCTAGACTAAATCATTAAAAATTATCTGCTTATGCAATCTTACCATCGCAGACTAGCCTGGCTAGCTTTTTATTCACAAAGCATTTAAGCAGCTCTTTACTCTTGCTTAACGGTCATTTAAGTAGCCAAGTTTTAATTCAGGCATAATGCTAAGTACATTTATAAATCCACTTAAACTCGATGATTCAAAGCAGACGGCGTACAACCTCCTAAAAAAACATACAAAACAAGTGCAATTGCGTCAGTCATTGCAGAACGTTGTCCGATACGGGGTCACGGCCTTATAACCTTTATTATTACGGAACGGAGACAACTTTATTTGCTATACTTGGATAAAGAAGGCATACATCAGCCATCATTTTATAAGCAATATTACAGGAGATAAGGCTAGAACATTTTCTTCGTACCTCCCCATTTTCGCATAACTATCGCTATATGCACTTAACCGGTAATACTCACAATGAATTGCTTTCCTTTTAGAGGAACGTCTAAAACGATGTAGGCTACACAAAATCGGTAAATTATCCTTTGTTATTAACTTTAGGTTTAGTTAATTCTGATTAGGGTTAGCAGATATATATGGGCAATGGCTAGGAAAATTTACCTTATGTTGATATCGAGATATTTTAACTAGAACTGTAGAATATAAAACAACCAAAGATTGACGGCTCAATTAAATTAAGAGTGTTTCACAATCACATGACGTTGTTCATTCAGTAATTGAAAATTCTTAACTTTTATTCTTATTACCCATATAGGCAAAATTAGTGCCTCGGCTGATCCGGGGTTGACCAAAAATTCTACTCACAGCTATTAAATTTTGCAACCGCGGTTCACGTGCTTGGAACGGAGGCATCACACGAGATTGTTTCGAAATGTTGTAGTGACTTGGTCGCGAATTGCCTCTAATATTTAAATCCTGCAAAAGTAGTATCATGATGGTTCAATCCTACCGTAATAAGGTCTAATCACTTAATATTTTCATTTGCTTAGATGTCCTGAACGTGTCAATGGATCAACGTTTAAAACACGAATAACAGATTTTTGCAAGATAAAATAATGGACGTTATTTACACATTATTTATAGTATTAAAAAAATAAAATAGAATTTCGATAAATTTCAATTATATATACTTTGAGGTTCTATATCAATTATATATGTATTTAACTAGTCTAGAACTTTGATGTTTAAAAAAAAAAATAAATACAATTTAACCATCCTTAAGCCAAAAATGTAACTCATTGTAATAGCCATGAACAAAATCCGCAATTAATGACAGTATGTACATCAGAGCAAGACTCAAATATCAATGATATCTGACTGCCGAAATCTTAGGAGTTACAAATAAAAAGATTCATGTGATTACTCTTTTATTGGAATATTGGTGAAATTAGGAGTCCAGTGAGTATTCTATTTCTGTCAATAACATCGTACTACGGCTTATGTTTATAGCGCTAATTAAAAGACCTTAATGCTACTAAAATATTGTATTACTTCTCATTGATCTAAATCCATTATTTGAGTACATCGCTTACCATATCTCTAACGATATGGAGCATTTTTGATGTTACACGAGGAGTACGACTCTATATGTACAAAAAAAAACTTATTGTAAGGATCAAAACTTATGCGTGATTTATTATCATTATAAGAAATCGATCAAAGAAAAAAATCGACAGGCTGAGTCGAAAATTAGCTTTAGTCAATTTTTTCATTATTGGCCAGGATCACTCGGTGGCTGCTGAGATGAAGGCATTCCAGAAAACATACTAATTACTCGTTTATAACGTGAGAGATTGGTATCAGGAGTTTTCTTTATTTCTACCACTGTTTTAAGCATTTGAAGCCTTCCAACCTTTAAACCTTCAATCTGTTGCGCAAGTTCTTTGACTCTATATATAACATTCCGTTAAAAATAATTCTTTAATGTAATGCCACGAAACCTATGCTAACTAATCAGTAATTATTAAATCGTTTACCTTTCCGGATTAACATCTGTAATTGGTCCCATTTTTGTCATTTCTTCCGAGACTAAATTATCTAGCCTTCTATTTCTTTGACTTTCGATTTTATCCGTCACCAAGTTAATTAATTCATTCACACGTTCCTTTCGCACGGGTAGCGTTCGAGCTTTTTCTCTCAACCCTTCAATCATGCGATTGGTTTTTTCAAGATCTTCACTATTGGATGCTAATTGCGCCTGACACACGGATAATTCTTTCTCTTTTATCTGTATTTGATTAACATACATATCTTTAAAATCCCGTAAAATAGTGTTGGCATCTTGTAATAAGAATTCTACTCGACTAGCACCCGTAGGAACAACTATTGGCGTGGATGGTGCACTATTTACATGATTTTCGTTGTTGTTAGGAGGTTGATTTTGCACCCGACTTTGTTCTGCTCGATATTTGGCATCATGATCTAATTCTAATATATAATCTTCTGCATTTTTTTCCCACTGAATTTCTAATTTGAGGATCTCCCCCAGCATCAACGAGAAGCTTAACAAGTCGTTTATTTGCAGATCTAGCAGATATGTTAAGAGCTGTGTCACCAGTGTCATTTTGCTTATTGATAATAGTTCTACGATATTCTTCATTAGGATGCTGAGCTAATGTTGAAAGTATAACTTCCATATAATATCTCGATGGACCAATTCGACCTTTAGTAGTAGCATAAATTGCTATATGATGTAATACCGTTTGGTCGTGAATATCAAGATTACCGATTGTCCTGATTAAAAGTTGTACTATATCATGAAAACATCTATTTTCATAATTATATTGAAACATGACACTTCTCATAAGGGCAGTTTCTCCATGAACATTGCCACGGTCAGGGTCTGCCCCTGCCTTTACCAACAACGAGGCCATGTCATAATTTGCCATTGCCGCAGCCCAATGAAGTGCAGTATGACCTTGCTGATCAATAATAATATTTGCATCAAAGTCTGATGGCGGGTGCAAAATAAAGTCTGGAATAGCATCTGAGTTTGTCGTGAAATATGTTAACATAAGACTACCATATTCTACTGCGTTAGAATATTGTTGCACTGTCTTCGCGACTTTGCTGGCACGACCACCCGTGTCTGCTTGTTTACGTTTTCTCTTCTGTTTTGGTATAGTTGCGACTGTTGGTGTCTCATCTGATTCTGATAAGTCATTTGATGATTCATTTGGGGCAGGTGATGCAGATAATGAATAAATTGGCGATATTGATGCATTAGACGACCCAATACTGGCTATTTCGGCAGTTTCGTGGTCGGTATCCACAGACATATTTTCGACTTCAGCTTGTGGTTCTGGCTTCTTGAGCTTTTTAGGAGGTCTTGGCTTTATTGGCTTGGGCTCTTTAGGTTCACGTGGTTTACGTGGCTTATTTGACGCGGCAGTAACGTGCTTTGGTGCTAGAGGTGGACTTTCCAAGGATGGTTGAAATTCAATTATCGGTTGTAAAAGTTCCTTTACGTGATATCGTTCTGCTAGGTCGACGCCTGTTTGATATGGTACCCATGTTCCTATTCATATAAATAGATATATATTACATATAAGTTTACTAATTATTTCTAAATAGATTTTTCTCAACTGGTATTCAAAGTTAGCATTATAATATATATAATTATTAAAGCCAACACGCCAAAACCAAGAACGTTCGTAGTATTATACATATATTAAAAATTCATGTACCCTGATATTTTCCATAACCACCTTGAACTTTTTCGTGTTCACCCTTTTGGACTTCGCGTTCTAAAATACGGGTTCTATGCGGCTTATCAAATTCAGCAACTTTCAAGATTTGTGTAGCGTTGAGCCATGAATCTGTTTTCCTGCGCATAACAGCTACACTTCGAACGCTTCAGTAAGTGTGAAAGTTGACATCCGTAAAGGCGATAAAGAATTTTGTTAAAATTTCGAATATACACAACAAATACAACGAGAACACACGATTGATATAACGCCAACCGAAACTCCCAAACTGGAACGCCAGAATATGTTGCCTTATAGATTTGCGAAGAAGGATCAGGCTCTGTCACTTGAACTGGAGCGTCAATCTCTGTCGACATCTTTTTTTCTATCGCTTTCGAAACGTGTGAAGACGTGAAATAAAATAGCACGGGGACAAAAACGTTGAAAAATCTGTTTCAATAATATTGCATGTCGTGTTTGTGATCAAAATTCTATTGATTATAAATGTAACAGATGTGATATAATATATACGTATCTCATGACGAAATGTATACATAATAATAGGCGTTATTTTATATTTATGCTGCATTATAATTGGAAACTACGACTTTATTATGATTTCTATATATGCATTTTTATTTTAGAAAAATACTGTATGCTTTTTTATTTTACAAACAATAGGTCTTTTTATAATTATATATATATATATTTTGAAAGTAATCTACGTCTATTACTACGTACTTTATTATATAAATAACGTTGGCCGCTGCTTACAATACCTGGGGTCTTATTCGAGAACTCCATTTGTAACGTTGAATAGTACCGCGAATACCAGGATACTGCGGATACTGCGTGAAAGAACCGAATATTTTAAAAGCAATGTACAGTATAGTTACAGTATATACAGTAGAGCAGTGCTGGGAAATTGGACAGTTTTGGTTTTTGGACACCTTGTCCAAAACCAAAACTAAATTTAATTGGTTTTGAACAAATTTATATATACTGTATATATAATATAAGTTAAAACTATATTAAACAGCTATAATTTTATATTTAATCAAACTTGTTTAAAATACAAATATATGCCATAATAATGCATTTTTTGATGCTGAACAAGTTTACTTAGAGCTCAAAAGCATACTTTATTAGTAATATTTTGAGCAATACAAGATTTTCTATATTTTTATTAATAAAAATATAGAAAATCTATTATAAACTAAAATTTTACTAATAAAATAAGCCTTTACGTTCTAAGTAAACTTGTTTAGCACCAAAAAATACATTATTATGACATATCTTTTCTTAATTTGTAAAGTGAAGATATGTAAATTGCATTTTTGATAAAAATTTACCAAATTTACGCATCTTCATTTTACAAATTAAGAAAAGTAAAGAAAACACATGCCAAAATAATGTATTTTTTGGTGCTAAACAAGTTTACTTAGAACGTAAAGGCTTATTTTATTAGTAAAAATTTAGTTTATAATAGATTTTCTATATTTTTATTACTGTATATAATTTATTTAATAATTTTTAGTCAATTTTATTTTAATTTGGGTCAAAGTGATTTGTCACATAACCTATATTCATGTTATATACTACAAAGGCCAATTAGAAGAGATTTTGTAATTTCAAAAAAGTTACATGGCTTTCTACCTAGAATTGGCTACATATTTACTGATTTGGTTTAATCCAAAATTAGCCAATCATAATTAAGAATTATTTGTTATTAAAATTTATTACAAGGTGAGTATTGCAATATCTACATGCTTAATTATTAGCTAACAGGGATGTTCTATAGTATAGGTGGGCAATATAAAAAATAAACTCCACTACAAATATTTAGCAGAGTTGCTGAGTTTGCAGAGTCTGTTCACCTATTTTATAGAATATCTGCTAACAGTAGCATGGTAGATATTCGATTTGATTGGTTAAAAAATAAACAATACAGTCTGACGATTTGCCAAATATGAATAGCATCGATCAAACCTTTTATGGTATAAAAACATCGATCAGATATTTCTAGACATTTCGATTGTACAATGTCACATATTAATTAGCCAATCAGATTATAGCCTTAAATTTTAAAATTTTGATAATCTATAGTAATGTACAATGAAAATATTCAGTAATAAAAAATTTTTCAACCTTCCCCAGGTTTTTAGAATAAATAAAACTCGGCACAATAAACAACTTTATTTTATTTTTTTTTATTTTTTTTATTTTTTTGTAAATTGCTTATACGCTGTAAATCTTTATTAGTTAATATGGAACATATTACAATTAAGTATTACAGTGAAGGAGTCGTGCTACACTAATTACTTAATGACACCCACCCTAGCAATTTAGTTATACTTTTACTAT